AGGGCCTAGACCCCTTTGTGTAACTACTTCTAGACAGGAAAGCAGGGGGGCAGTGGGGGGCACACTAGGGAGGTGTTTTTAAATGTTTTTAAAAACATTAAAAAAAATGTTTGCTACAGGGTGAGTGCGCTCACTGGGAGAGAGAGGGAGAGAGAAGGAAAGTGAAAACCACTCCTCCCAGGGGGACAGCCATGCCACAACCCCTCCGTCACCCCCTCTCAGGGTTTTGGGCACGCACAGGCATTGGTGTTTTCCAAGATGCCGGGTCTGGGGCTCGATTCATGAAGCCGGGCGCGTAGGATCCAGCACCGTAACCACTACGCCAAGTCAACAGGGCTAAGATGACTTTGTGTTTGTGTCGGTGACAATGGTCGTGAAAGGATACCAACCCTAAAGTGACCTAGATGCTGAGGCGGTTCGAGCTCAGGGACCCTTAGACGCCTCGTAGACTAAGCCTTTACAGACAGAAACTGAGGCCCTCCTCAGGGGGACAGGTCTGTCATGGTCACGGAGTCGGGTGCAGGAGCCTGGCCTGGGGCACCTAGGTCGGCGTCCCTGACTGGCACAGCCCAGGCCTTGGGGTCGAAGGCTCCTAGGCGAGGGTGCGCCTCAGGCTTTTCTCTAAGAGGCTCTGGGCGGCGGGCAGCTGCCAAGGCTCAGTGCCCTCCTCCTGCACGGGGTGAGCGGGACGGTGACCAGGGAGTCCGGCAGGTGCTGGGTGCCGAGTCCCCAGCCTCCACACTGCACGCTCCGCTCCCCAGACTTCAGTCCCCACTGCCCTTGGATGGTCTCACGTCTGCAGATGTCCCGGCATCCCTGGGAGCCGAGAGAAGGGGCGGGAGCGGGTCCTGAGTATCCGTCGTTTTAGGACGTGCTTCTCAATAGCTCAGAGATGATGGTCGGTTTACAGCCCTGCCAGCTCCTGCCAGCATGCTGGTTTATCCTACTCTGTGCTGGCTCATGCTGGGCTCGAGATGCCAACGAGAGCCAGTGACAGGCCCTGTCCCCATGGTCGGTCACAGGGAGGTAGAGAGTACAGTGCCGTAAGTATGGGAGCCCAACCAAGGAGGGCTTCCTGGAAGAACTGAATTTGAGAGGGTTTGAAGAAAGACAGCGAAGAAGGTGGAGAGGGTGCTCTGGGCAGGGGGTACGTCTCACACAGAGGCTCGGGGCGAGACGTGGCCAGGTGTGTCGGAGAAATCTGTCAGACAGGAAATGGGCTTTTCCTGGCAGTCCGAGCCAGACAGTCAGCCAGGAGGGTCTACAGCTCTCGAGCCCATCCGGAATGATGGCTCCTGCCCTGTATTTGGTCACGTGGGGGTCCAGAGCACTACGGGGTCCCCTGTGCACATGGAACACTTTCTTCCTCACCGTGGAGACAAGGAGCCCAGGATCCCAGAGGCCAGAGCCAGGTCATCTAGGGGACTTCCCCCGTGGGTCACAGCCTCTCCTTGAATATCCTCTGCAGCCGGGAGCCTCCTGCCTCCCAGGGCTGCCCATCAACACCCCAGCCACACCGCCATCCGTGTGGTGGGAATGCTTTCCTCCACTCAGAGGTGGGGCCACGTGGTGGCACAGCCGTTGCATAACTGGACCCGCGTGGGAGAGTCCTGGGTTCGGGTCCTGAGTCTTCGTTATGCGTGTCGGGCGTGCCATCGTGGCTGCCGGGGGAAGGATGACGGCGTGAGGCCCTGCTGAGGGTGCTCATCGCTCTCTCAGAAATAAACTTAACAAAAACAAAACAAAACACTCTTGCAGGAACCTAGACTCCTGGGCGTGCGGGTGTGGGGCCGCACTTCGGGTAAGGCTACCAGTAAACAGAGAGGTTGGGGCCGGAAGTGGTTTTGGAGGCCAGGTCCCCGTCAGGGCGGTTCACCCCAGAGAGCAGGCCTCCAGGCCTCCAGCGTGTCGAGGGGTGCCGAGACCCTGTTCTGTCTCCTGCTTCTCCCTCCCACGGAAACTGAGGCCTGGAGCGGGCTGGGATCTGCTTCACCCTGGAGGCACCGGCACCCAGAGAGGGGCCTCCCACTGCTTGCTGGTGGCTTTGCCCCCGGGGACAGGGTACCCCCAAAGCCTTCTCCTAATGGAATTAAAGCAATGCAAGGAGGATAAAAAAAGACTTTTGATAGTTTATAAAAGGCTGTCACACCTCCACGTTCTGTATCATCCATGCCAAGGGGTGGGGCTCCCTGGGGCTGGAATGAGTCCCGCCACCTTGAGTAATTGGCTCACGGAGCTGACTCATTCATCTGGGTGTAGATAATAACCTCTGGTTTGTTTTTCCTTAAAAACAAAACAAACCAGCCCCCATCCTGTTTGCCCCACTTGGCGCACAGGAATGAGCTCGGGGCTGGGGGCTGGGACGGCACCCCGCAATGCAGGATCTCTGGCCGCTTACATGGAAGTCAGCTACGGCCAGCTCCTTACTGACTGGGACCCACGGATCAACTCATTTATTCTTTCATTCATTTATTCAGTACCAAGCTGCCACCCTGGGCCAGGTGCTGGTGCCGGGAGGAGAAGCTGTCCCTTCCCTGAAGCAGTTCTGGGGGTGGGCCATCTGTCACTGTAACCCTCCCTTCACCCTGCCTCCCCTCCCTCGGCTCTCCTGAGTGCTGCCCAGGTGAGACCCCTGTGGGAAGACCTGCCATGCCACCACCATCCAGAAGGTGGCAGCAAACAGGCCTGGAGAAGCTGGAAAGGGGGCCTGGTGTACAAGGGCAGGTGGGCAGGTGGGAAGGGGTCGCCAGGAGAGGAAGTTCCGCCCTGCTTCCTGGAGAGGACCTACCCCACACCCACTGGGGACAGATACCCAGACCTGGCCACGAGCAGGGCCACAGGAAGACCTGGATTCAGGAGAAAGGGACTTGCCGGATCAGCTGGGCCTGGGCCTAGTGCCTCCCCAGCACCAGGAAGTGGTGCCCACTGTCGAGGACAGTCACAGTGCTGGGCAGTCACCGCTTGGCCTGGAGTGAGTCAGTAGAGCTCCGGGGACGGGCTTGGGTTTGTAAGGCTGGCCGCCCAGAGGCTGTCCTGTACCTTCCCCCAGCAACAGCTGCACTCAGTGAGCCGCCAGGCCGGGGAGCAGGTGTGCTGGAGACCCTACCCGGCCCCACACACATACCTCAGGGAGTGCCTACCCAGGGCTGACGGGCTTTGGTAGGTGAGCTCCTCAGCTCCCAGCCCTGGCAGCAGGAACACACCTGAAGGGTATCCTACCCAACTCCCAAGGCCCACCTGGGCACGGAGCTCCAGCTGCCCACAGCAGGGACACGCCTATGCACCCTGACTGGCTGCCCCCTTGTCTGTCCCCACCCTCCACAGGCTTCTGGAGTCCCTGTGCTGCTTCATACCTCCCATCCTTGTCTTTGGTCTGCTTCTGAGGACCCAGCCCAATACCAAGACCCTTGTAATCTTGCTCTCTCTCTCTCTCTCTCTCTCTCTCTTTTTTTTTTTTTGTA